GTCCATGCTCCCTCCTTTTTGGGTTGGGACCGACAGTTTTGGCCACAGCTACGCCACATTCTATGCGGTACTAACATGATCTCCTACCAGGCAATTGCCACACAGGGTTCCCTAGACGGACGGGCTTCGTTGCCATACCTTCAACTGACTAGCTACTACCGCTCCCTGCGTTCCATTCCTGACATCTCACGGGCCCTAGCCTCTTTTGAACAGTTGTGTACTGCTTCCACACCGCCCACGCACCTTATCTCCTTATTGTACCATATGCTCCTCTCCCACTACTGGACCGACTTACCTGTATACCTGTATGTACCCTGAAAATGTGCTATGTATGTTATATATTTTTTCCCTTGTTTGAAAAGAATAAAACTTTATTTGACTAAATGCGCACGTTCGCAGGGGCAGGAAACTTTAACGGGTTTTTTGGGGTATTTTACATTTTAGTTTATTTTTTTAAAGAACATCTTCCGGAATTTAAGTTAACCCTTACAGTGGGTTAACTTTTATTTAAAGGTTTATTTCAAATTGCACCAGCTATTGCACCCACCCACTCTCCATCAGCAGAGGTGGGACCTGAAGGAGATAGTTCTCCTTCAGGTCCTCCTCCGCTGATTGACAGCAGGCAGACAGCAGCCAGCTGGCAGGTGCAATAGCCAGCCTGCTATTGGCTAGTGCAATAGCCAATAGCAGGCTGGCTATTGTTCCCAGCCACTGGATGTAACACTTGTCGCTGGCTTTCTAGCGCCGGTGACAAGTTTCCCATCCAGCGGCTGGGAGCCGCTAAATGGGGAGAGGGGCTGGCAGAGGCGCAGTGGGGGCATGGGGGGGGAGATGGGTGCAGCAGGGACACATGGGTGGGGCACAGCGGCTGACAGCAGACTCTCCTCCCCACTGGACGCAGGCTGCAGCTGTCAGATCCCCACTGCCTCTGTTGATGAGTGGGGGAAGAGAGCAGCGGGGATTGAAGAGAACGCAGAACGCTGCAGCCGGCGCCCAGAGGAGAGGAGGATGTGGGAGCAAAGGAGGAGGGGCAGTGAACAGGCTGACAAAAGCCCAAGTGCCAGGATACAATTTTTATGCGCCATGGCGACCTGGCGCCTTGGATTCGTAGAACCCTTGGGTTGGCCCACTGCAATGGTTAACCTTTCAATTCCTGAAGATATTCTCTAACCCCTTCATGACCAGTGACATACAATGTACATCACTGGCATCAGGCCCGTTTAGGCTCTGTTCACACCTAGGCGTATCGAATATGCTCGATTCGCGGTTAAAAACGCGCGTTTCCGAGGGCTACTTGGCTGTATCCCAATGGAAACGCGCAACAAAAACGCCGCAAAGAAGCTCATGTACCTTTTCAGGCGTGGGCCGTTTTGTAGCGTGTTCAGACGGGCTGAAATACGGCAAGGTGTGAGCCATACCCATAGAAAACAATGGGATTTTAATGTTTGAGCGTTTTGTAGAGCGTTGGTAGAATGTTGAACGCGCTACAAAAAACATACAGGTGTGAACCAGGCCTTAAACAGACTCCCGGCAGGACTCTGTTTACATTTGTAAAGCCG